ACACTGAAGTTACAACAACTTCCTGTGTCATGGCGAAGACTTGATCTTTGACGCCACGCCACGGACACACCCATTGACGAAAACTCGCAAATAGCACAACTTTTCATCTTCAATGCCTTTAGAAGGCATAGCACAAATTTGAAGTCAGTCGGACTAAATCCCTAGGAGGAGTTCGTTAAAGTACGAAGTGTGTAAATCATCCAAAATTTGACGTAAAATTCAAAATGGCCGACTTCCTGTTGATTTTAGGGCATCGCTCCAAGAGGCTTTTTTATGCGTCTGGACAAGATACACGTACCACAGAAAATTCGTGCACGTAGGTGAAACGTGCGGCGGGGGCTGCTTCGTTAAATGTCACTTCCTGTTGCCAGCAGGTGGCGCTATGACTGTGGGTGAATGTCAGCATGTACATGTGTTCATGGCGGGACTCTCATCCTACATGTACAGTTTGGTGCAGATGTGAGCATGTACACTGAAGTTACGACAACTTCCGTGTCATGGCGAAGAGCTGATCTTTGACACCACGCCACGGACACGCCCATTGACGAAAACTTGCAAGTAGCACAACTTTTCATCTTCAATGCCTTTAGAAGGCACAGCACAAATTTGAGGTCGGTCGGACTAAATCCCTAGGAGGAGTTTGTTAAAGTACGAAGTGTGTAAATCATCCAAAATTTGACGTAAAATTCAAAATGGCCGACTTCCTGTTGGGTTTAGGCTATGGCTCCAAGAGACTTTTTTGTGCGTCTGGACAAGATACATGTACCACAGAAAATTCGTGCACGTAGGTGAAACGTGCGGCGGGGGCTGCTTCGTTAAAGGTCACTTTCTGTTGCCAGCAGGTGGCGCTATGACTGTGGGTGAATGTCGGCATGTACATGTGTTCCGGGGCGGGACTCTCATCCTACATGTACAGTTTGGTCCAGATGTGAGCATGTACACTGAAGTTACAACAACTTCCTGTTTTCATGGCGAATCATCGACGCCACGGCAAATTCAATAGGGACCTCACACGGTCGTGCTCGGGCCCTAATAAATAAATAAATAAATAATCCGAGCAAATTCAATAGGGACCTCACACGGTCGTGCTCGGGCCCTAAATATATATATATAATCCGAGCAAATTCAATAGGGACCTCGCACGGTCGTGCTCGGGCCCTAATAATCCGAGCAAATTCAATAGGGACCTCGCACGGTCGTGCTCGTCTCGGACAGAATGAGGAGACATAGTTGTTTACAGACACACAAAACTTCCTATTTGACAGGTAGGATGAAAACCATTCTAGGGCAGTACCAGAGATCCCCACCCAGTGCCTCAGTCTGTCTAACATGATGTTGTGATCAATGGTGTCAAAAGCAGCGCTAAGGTCCAGGAGTACAAGGACTGAGCACATACCTTCATCAGCAGACATTAAAAGGTCATTGGTGACTTTAAGCAGGGCAGTCTCAGTGCTGTGGTACTTCCTAAAACCAGACTGAAACTTTTCAAATAATTTGTTATTTTCCAGTACAGTGAGCAGCTGTTTGGACACAATTCTTTCTAGAATCTTTGCAATAAAAGGCAGTTTTGAAATTGGTCTAAAATTATGTGGGAGGGAGGGATCTAAACCAGGTTTCTTTAAAAGTGGGTTCACGCAAGCCGTTTTAAAATAATCAGGGACACAACCAGTAGATAGGGAGCTGTTGAAAACAGAGATCAAATGGGGCCCAACAGAATCTATTACTTTCAGTAAAAATTTTGTAGGTATTACATCAAGTGGGCTGGAGGACACTCTCATTTGTGATACTGTTTGTAAAAGCTCAGACAAGTCGATGGGATAAAACTGGTTAAAACTCTCTTGTTGCTGGTGAGGAACCTCTGAGTAAGAGGCCGCGGGGGTAATAGAGGCTCTGATTGACACCACCTTATTGGTAAAATAAGATAAAAACAATTCACAGTCATCATTACTTCCAGCTGAGGCACAAGGAGGGGTTGGGTTTACCAGCTGATCCACAGTCTTAAACAGAAACCTGGGATTGTGTTTATGTGTAGTAATGAGTTCAGAAAAATAGTGTGTTCTCGCATCCTTAACCATGTTATTGTAGTTAATTAATAAATCCTTCAGACTGAGGTAATGGACTTGGAGACTGGATTTTTTCCATCTGTGTTCTGCTTTCCTGCATTCCCTTTTTAGGCTGCGAATGCTGTCATTTATCCAGGGTTGCTTACTAGCTTTAGACGTAGGCCTAACCTTTAGAGGAGCAGTAATATTTAGTGACGACAAGCAGATATGATTGAAGTGATCGACCAGATTGTTGGTGTTGGAATCAGACAGGTGTTGGCTTTGGCTCTGAAAGAATGCGCAAAACTTTGAAACACTTTGTTCATTAAAGATGCGAGAACACACGGAGCTTGGTGAGGCGGCATGAGTAACAGGCGAATCACAGCTAAAAACAATACATCTGTGGTCAGATATGGTCATGTCCACCAATTCCACAGAGGAAATGCTGACACCCAGGGTAAAAACCAAGTCCAGTGTATGACCACGGTTATGTGTTTGCCCTTTAACGTGTTGTTTGAAGTTAAAAGAAGTGGCTATATTTAAAAAGTTAATTGCATTAACATTGTTGGGGTCATCAACATGAATATTAAAATCGCCACAAAGAACAATTCTGTCATAATTTAAAACCAGAGTAGATAAAAATTCAGGAAGTTCTGATAAAAATCCTCCAGGCGGTTTTGGGGGGCGATAAATTATAACAAATATGATAGGTTGCAGCCCTCCATCTTTAATAGTGAGAACTTCAAAGGAGTTAAATTCATCACAGCGTACTTGATGACATTTAAAATTTTTCCTTTACACGCTCACTAGCCCACCACCACGATCACTGACCCTCGGTTGGCTAAAACAATCATATTGAGGCGGACACAGTTCAGCTAGCTGGCTATAGTCATTCATCTGCAACCAGAATTCAGTTAAAAACATAAAATCTAGATTTGCAGACAAGATAAAATCATTTAAGATAAAAGTCTTACTTGAAAGTGATCTCACATTGAAGAGAGCCATTTTAAATGAGTTTGTTCTGGGTGCTGGAGTTGGTGCAGTTGTCCTAATCCTTAAGAGATTACTATTATTTCTGTGTGGGATGTGCACATTTCGGTTTACTGGTCTATACGTGATGATGACAGGAATAGAAGTCTGTGGAACAGCGCTGGGAGCAGACGGCTTTACATGCCAGCAGGTGGAGACAGTTGTTTGTGGCAGTGAGCCAGAGATCTGTTCAGTGAGCGGTGGTGCGTCCAGGTGTGCTGCATGAATGATTAGTCATTCACGTAAATCATGTGTGGACCGCACCACATGCTGTATGTGCGCAGCTAACATTTCTGAGCCCCGTTTGTTTGGGTGAAGTCCATCTGTCTTAAAAAGAGACATTCTTTGCCAGAAAATATTAAAATTATCCACATAACACACACGATGAGCCCTGCAGGCGGACTGGACCCAGTCGTGGAGGCCAAGGAGTCTACTGAAGCGGCCAGCACCGCGACCAACTGTGGGAATGGGACCAGAGATAAAAACGGACTTTCCACACTGCTTTAAAAAGTTAAAAAGACGGTTAAAATCTGATTTTGTCAGCTCAGACTGCCGAAGAGCTGTGTCATTTGTTCCGACATGGACTATCACTCTTGTGATGGAGGACGGGAGCGACGGCATCAGGTCCTGGAGTTTTTTTAAAATGTCGGCTGTGGTGGCACCAGGGAAGCATTGAGTGGTAGCGTTAAAGAAACGGAGGTTTCTGGTTATGGAGTCACCAATTATTAGTGTGGTTGGGGAGAAAAGGGGACGAGGAGATGCCGGTTGTGTGGTTCCAGAGCAGGACTGAGCATAATCTGCTTCAACACTGCGTGCGGACTGAGGATGGAGTGTGTGAGCTGCCGAGTGTTGTGTTGGAGTAGCAGTAACAGACCTGAGAGAAGGGCTACCCGACGGTGCAGGATAGAGACGGCCTCCGGAGCGTCTGAGCACAGCCACCTTCAGGATCCTACGTCGGGAAGCGGAGGTTTTTGACCGGGATGACGGCCGCCGATCAGGCCCGGCGGCAAACCGGCGGCCCAGTGCAGGAGATGTAGCCGGTGAAGGAGATGCAACAGTGTCGGCAGGCACTGTGGGCAGAAAGAGATCCGTATCAGGGAGACTCGAAGCCACAGGTGCATCAGCTGGATGGACTGGAGTGTCGTTAGACAGGGCTGCATAGCAGTTGGAGAGGCCGATGTGCGGAGGAGAGGCAGCCCCATCCGAGCCTCTCTTGCAGCCACGGACCACCACACAGGTTGACTGATGCTTTGAAGTCGAGCAGGATGAAAGCCTGGGAAGGCTAGAGGGGTCCCAAAATACGGTGTCCTGGATGTTAGCGGTTGCGCTAAGAGAAACAATCTGTTTGGCTTGTACTGAAGCCACATCCATAAAGCCAGTCAGCAGGGAATCTTTCTCTTTGAGTTCCTCTGAAAGTCGTCGGATGTCTTCCATAAGGTCAGCAATCTTCTTGTTCGCTTTCTTAAGGAGTGTGCAGTCCTCATGGGGCAGAGTTATTTCGGCTAGCATAGTCACCGGAGCTTTGTTGCGATCAGTAGCGTTGATCGCGTTTTTACGGTCATCTAGCTTAAAATCCATGTCGGATGGCTAAAATCCTTAACCCACGTAAAACTTAAGTTAAAAACTTAAGTTAAATAAAAAGGATATAAAAAATGTAACGAAAAAGAGTGGATTAAAACTGGATAAGAGTTAGGTTTAAGACGGAGCTTCCGACAGGTGGCCACAGATGCCAACGCATGCGCAGAGTGCAGATTACGTCAGCAATTACGTCAGAGATCTTGTGACAAGATGATGTCACAAGATGTAATCGCACCGCCCCCAACCCTCACTTTGCGTTTGGTCTGAATGCACAGTGAGGCTCATCTGTGATGAAAAAGAGACCTTTGCACATAAAAGGATAAAACAAAAGCAGCACAAGGAAAGACTCACCCGCCAGGGAAACCCAACAGACCATCAAAGCGCATCTGCATCTGTGGGAAGTGTTAGAGGCTGTTATACACACTGATGTATCCACAGAGGCAGAGATGCTTAGACACAAACAGGCAGACACTCAACACTGAAATCAAGTAGTACAGTTGTAGTAGCAGCACATCATTTGTGCATGCAATGACTCAATCATTTCCATCTACTCTTACCAGAGACATCTCAATTACAGTTTGATTTAATTTACAGTGGTTTAGTGATACGCAAATTAATATTAGTCTTTTTCTAATTTTCTTTCCCATTTAATTTTTTTCTCCTTTTCTAACAGATTAAGGTATACACAGGAGGGTGCCCTGATCAAGCCCCTGAGGGTTTTTGTACCTCTATATCACATCTTCTGTTGTTTATGTATATTCATTTGTATTTTTTGCATACATGTAAACAAATAAAAATGAATAATCTTTTAAATACATGCATGTGCATACACACAATGCTCTTACTCACCAGTATGACATGTCTCATGGGAATTCTCCCAAACAGCTGAGTTTTCGTGTCAGAGTAGAGCATCACATGGCATGCATATCTGCAACCAGAGCACGCCAAGGCCTCTGCCCTCGACAGCTGTCCACTCGTCATCTACAAAAATACACAAAAAAGTGCAAAATTACAGTCACAGTTCAGAGCTTGCTAATCACTCTGCATTGCTGCCCCTTGTCATGTGCAGCCAATGTCACATCATCCAACTAGCACTTCCTGGTAACTATGCAGAACCAGGAAGTGTTAGATCTTTGTGACTTGTATCAAAAAAGCTTTAGCTCCATCTGCTGGTGTGGAGTATGCTGACAACTGGAGGAATCCCTGCCCTTTTATTGCAGGGATATTCAATTAGAATTCAAAGAGGTCCAGTTAGAGAAAATTTCCCGAAGCAAAGGTCCGGAACATCATAACGACTAACTTGCGTTATCATTCAGTGCCATAACGTATAGTTGTATCAACATATGTTTTTAGTCAAACACTGACAATATTTCAGCAATATTCAGTTTTCACATCAAACTGGAGGGATAATAATTAAAAAAACTACTTTAATAATAAATTCTACATTTAAGTAAACTAAAATAAAGTGCTTAATTTCAGGGAAAAAAATCATAAAAAGTCACATATTAACAAATGAACAGCTGTAATACCTCCTCTTCTCTTTCGTTCTCTCTTATATAGCTACCACTTCCTACTTTCGCTTATTCAGTGAGAAACGTGAGCTCTAGCTTGTCCTGCCAGCTAGGATTGGAGATCTATGAGATATTCTGGTTCTGAACCGCCCGTGGGAGGAATGTACATGTAAGAATCTGTACATTCTTGATTAAAAGCCATGTGAAATCTCTTTTCTCTTTCGCCTCCTCTCTCCATGTGTGTTTCCAAAACATCTCCGGTGTATTGCACTAGTGGACACGCAATGCCTGATGGAATGCACAGATTTGATTGGCTGAGCAGCCTCATGTGAGACGATTAGAGCACATGCGATTGGTCTGTGAGTTTCCTGGGCCATTAAATCAGTAAAGTAAATGCTAGAAAAGCTGCGCAGGTTAAAAAAAGAAACGCTCCGTCACAAGGTAGTAATTCACAATAATAAACTGGCTGCAGGTCGGCAGTCCGGAGAGGACGGCGGCTGGGTCCAGCCCGTCTATCAGTGACCTCTGTTTTATTGGCATGTCTGCAGCCTATTTAGTGAGACAGACAAGGGAGAGAGGCCCAATTCCAATGTACCCCCTAAGCCCTGAACCCTCACAGACTTTACTGACGTCACTTGGAAAGTGATTGAGTTTGAGGGCTCAAAATGCTGTAAACAGGAATGGGACAGCACTTTGCCACTTTATCACATTACCTAGACGACGCTGAAACACGTTGCACACTTTTTATTTTGTGTTTTTGCCTCATTTTTAAGAGACTCAGACTGCAGACTCTCACCCTACAGAGTGGAGGAGAGGTAAATGTCAATGTCAATTTGGCACTAATCATCAATACACTATTGTTGGTCAAAACAGCATCATTAAGCAAAAACTAAAATAAATAGTTGAATAAACGAAGTGTGAAAAAGTGGTTGCTTTCCTCTGACTTCATGTGTTCCATCTTAGGTTAAGAAAAATTCTAACAATGTTAACATCAGCGTTGGTGTCAATGCTTGTTTGTTTACTGTTTTTCTTCTTCTTCTCTTAAGACGTGGATTTGCCGTGATACTTCTCTTGCTTCCGGGCATCCCCCGGTAACCCCGTGTTTCACATCATACCGCTATGAACTGTGGGCAATTCCCTCAGCCAAAGTCTGCAGAAATGCGGACTTACGAAAAGGGTATATAAAGGGCTCAAAATGTCTGCGAGAGAGAACTTGACGATTTGACAGTGGGACTTCAGGGCGTGTTAAATTTATAAATTAGTGCTTCAGAAGTTCCACAACCGTAACGAGCTCAGTTATGGTTCAACGACAGATCGCCATGGGCTTTAATGTTGTAATCCTGAGGGACAGTCGAAAGAAACTGTGAACGTTTAGCCTCATTTGAAGTTCATTGACTAATGAGCGTAGGGTGTCGGACGCCTGCAGCTGTTTTTCATGTTGCTTTCTGTGGAAATTTAGTTATAACGTTACTATAGCTCAGTGGTTAGTTGTGGACAGTCCTTTATGCTCCGCACCGGTGTGTGTTGGTGTGTGTGTGTGTGCGTCGCTGTGGTATGTAAATTGACTTGATAGACATGCCTTGAAGGTAACGATATAGCTAACATTATGTGAGTTTTGTAGTGAAAAAGTAGCTGCCTGCTCTGCCAGCTGCCTGCTCCTATTGGCTGGATGTAGATGTTGAGTCGGCCGACTCCCCCAGATATTTTGCATGCTACGTATCTGACTGGTGTCTGTGATGTGCTAGTGGTGAGCGCAAAACGACTACTGATTTGGGCGGCTGTGGCTTAGGAGGTAGAGCGGATTGGCCGTTAATCGGAAGGTCAGCGGCTCAATCCCGGCTCCCCCAGGCTGCAAGTCGAAGTGTCCTTGGGCAAGATACTGAACCCTGAATTGCCCCTGGTGGCTGTTCTGCCAGTGTATGAGTGTGTGTGAAAGTTAAGTTTCTGTTTGAGCACTTAGGCTCAGTGTATAAATGTGTGTGAATGGTGAATGCAGTATAAAAACGCTTTGAGGCGCTATACAAGTATGGAGCATTACCCCCGATCACAGCCCGATGGTCTGAGCTTGGTGACTGGCAAATTGCGTAGTGAACTAGGCTTAAGACTCTGAGGTGATTATCAAAATGATCAAAAACACTATACAAACACGAACAATAAATGCTTTTAACAATCTGTACAGCTAACAAAAGTGAACAGTAATGTTAGGTAGAGTTCATAAAATGCATGTATGTCATGCCACTTTGTACAAAAATTAACATGAAATTAAGTAGAAAACAAGTAGTTTAGCGTATTGCAGCCCTGATTCAGTTATTACACAGAAACTACCAGGGTTTCCAGGTAACAGCATTAAACTTATATAGTAGGATGAATTCCAGCATTATAATATGCTAATTATCAATTAGCATGTTCATTTCTGGTAGTAGCCTATAATATTGTGACAACACTGACATTATTGACGTTATTACCCCATTAATGTCACCAAGACCCAGTTTGAGTTTAAACATTAGATGTACTTTAGCTCTCTTTTCACCCAGCTACTCATGTTATCTTACATGTTGAACAGAAGTTGCCTGCCTACTGCGTAGGCACATGAGCTGCTGAGTGGTTGGTATGTTTTGAGGCTCTCTCTCCCTTCTGCTCCCTTCAGTGTGAGTTGCCTCTGTCTGAGGAGAGCAGGATGATGGGCTGTCACGATATTAGGTCTGTGTTAAATTCCAGCTCCTTCTTACACATTTTGTCTGACCTTATAATTAGGCAGCAAATTTCTTCACCTCACTGCTGCTCCTGTTAATTTGCCGATAATGGTGGTGAAGGAGAGAGCAGTAGAAAGAGAAAGGAAGTGGTTAAAGTAGAGGGGCCCACCGATTAGAAAGTGGTTAAAGTAGAGAGGCCCACCAATTAGAAACAGGAATTGACCAGACTGCTGTCTGGACACAGGAAACAGGAGTCGGCTGGGTTGCAGACTGGACACAGGAAACAGGAGTTGACTCAATGGAGTAGGACTGCAGAAAGGCACAATGGCTTGACATCCACGTCTCCATCTGGGAGGCGTTACTGAAGGTGGGTCTAGCTGGTAACTAGTTGACAATGCCATCTCTCATTTCGTAACACAGTTAGACCAGAAGGTAAACAGAGATAAATGTCCCAGAGTTTCTACCTTGTTGTGGCTCCCCTGTCTTGGGGGGATAGGTGGGAGGACAGGCAGGTTGACAGGCAGGCAGAGAAGCAGACAGGAAGCTAGCAGCCGATGCTCTAGCAGGCCGGGAATCAGGCAGGTGGATGCTAGCTAGCTTGTAGCTTGCAGGCTAGTTGCTATTTGGCCGGTGGCTAGCTGTCTTGGTGCTGGGCTCCAAGGCAAGATCCAACAAAACGAAAGCCAGAGAGTTGGATGTCCATGAGTCTTCAACCAACTCAGGAGCTAGCTGAAGGTTATCAAGCCTGGAGATTGCCTCTGGAAAGTTGTAGGCTCCCTACCTAATCGACTGAGGTGCAGACTTGTTACCAGCAGGTCAAAGTGAAGGCTGGGGTTGCTAGCTAGCTGATGGCTAGCAAGCCTAGAAGCAGGTAGGTGGCTAGCAGTAGGGATGCTAGCTAACTGGTGACAAACTGGCCGGGAGCCAGGTTTGCTGATGTTAGCTAGCTGGTTTCTAACAGGCCAAGATGCAGACATGTAGCTAGCAGCCGTGATACTAGCTGACTGGTTGTAAGCAGGTTGGAGACTTGCAGACTGAGGTGATGGCAGATAGTTAGTGGTCAGGATGCTAGCCTCAGAGTGCCCTGGTAAATCTGAATGTGCTGCAAGTCTTTCTTCTGTTGTAGAATCCCAGCTAACTGCTCAACTATTGGTGGAAAGTTCAACTGCCTGGATTTAGAACGGATTGTCTTTTCCAATAGATTATAAACAAACGGTCTGCCTATGTCCTTGGAATTCTGGATGGTGGTGTGTAGCCTCTGGAGAATAGAGGACCACTCTCTAAGATCCTCTGATGATAACTCAATGTCCACTGGGTCCATATTTGGTCAGTTTGTACTAACGATATCTGTCTTAGTGCAAACCCAGGAAACAGGGATTTGGACCCACAATGTTGACCCAAAAGCTGAGGAAATCTAGTTCTTTGTATTTATTTAAGACAATGTGAACAAAAACTTACATCTAGGATTAGGAACAGTCCAGATGGTGGTAATAATAATCCAAACGAAAGCATAGATCCACAACAAATCCACATAAGCATCTGGCAGGAAAACACAGGAAACTGAAGGAGACGTTTGCCATGAAACGCAGTGAGACAAACTGACAAGCAAAGCCACACAGACTATAAAATACAGGGAGGGCAGGATGATGGAACACAGGTACAGGCACATTAGAGCAGGTGCAAACAATAAACCAAGGAACACAAAGACAGGAAACAAAGCTAACAACACACACTAGGAAGAACACTTTCAAAATAAAACAGAAAAACTCAAAACTACACCAAACACAGTCATTCTTAGTATTGTTGATTGTTGTTACCAAGTTAACTCACCTGCTAGAGCACATGCATTAAAGCCCCCCAAAATAATAATTCTTGCTATTGTTGA